CAACAATCTTGATTTAGGGAGGTGTTTACTCGTCTTACTTCCACCACCTGGTCTTATATGGATCTAGTTGCTGTTATAGCGGTGCAAGATGAGCGACGAGCTCTCTTTTACATCAATACTTTTAGGACCACACATGGCTAGTGTTGAACATGTGACTCTATACACAAGAGGGGAAGGGGTGAATTGTGGAGGTTTGAAAAACTTTGGTTTGAAATAATAATATTTTTTAAATCAGAGTTTAAAAACATTTAAAAAAAAAAGTTTGGATATGTAGCTAAAAATTAAGATAAAGAAAATATGCAAAAAGTAAAAAGTTAATGGAAGATAGATGAAACTGGTGACTTATAAATGTTCTGTCTAAATGAAGTGACTTAGTCCTCTCACCAAAAATTGATTTTGAGAGTAACCAATAATATTTGAGAGCTTTTAGAAGATTAAGCCCACAAACCCTCTTATACAAGGAACAATGAATTGTTAGATTTACTTCGAACCAAATAGAGAACAGTGGAATAAAGTGGTTTGTCTTCACGTCAAACACAAAATGGAACTTCGAGCGATTAACCTCTAAGCTAAACTTCAGATTTTGTATGGACTTATCTTGAACCAATGTGAGCTTTTAAGCTGACTATCCTTCGAACTAGGCATGGCAATGGGGCGGGGCGGGTTAAGCAGACCCAATTCCGCCCTCGCCTCCCAGTCCCAGACCCGCCCCCGCCCCCAAACCTGATCGGGGCTAATAATTGGTCCCCTGCCCCCATCGAGGAACGAGTTTCCCCGCCCCACCCGCATAAATTGTATTTTTTAAATGTATTTTTTTTAATAACAACAAAAATAAATAATTTAACTAAATAATTGATTATTTTCATAATAATCATAATACTTGATCATTTTTATTTAATTCGTATTTTAAAGAAAATAAATGATAATTCTAATAAACATGATATTGTAAGATTAATAAGTGTAAATGAGTCATAAAGTTATCAAAAATAAAGGAAACAAATTAAATTTAATAGGCGGGTGCGAGACGGGGGTGAGTGTGGGGCGGGTGTTACCATCCCCCGCCTCCGCACCCGTCCCCTTAAATAAAAATCAAGTTTTCCCCGTACCCGCCCCCAATTATATCGGGGTTTCCCTGTTAATTTTGGGGCGAGTGACCGGTGTTGGGCGGGGGAGGATTTATTTGTCATGCCTACTTCGAACTGAATTGAGATTTTACGCGGGCTGACCACGAGGCGAACTGATCTCAAACATACTGAGCTTTTCACGGGTTGAGCTTAGAAACCAAGAAATTTTTTATACCGGAATGATCTCGAACCTAATGATCTTTTCATGGGTTATACTAAAAAATCAAGAGAGATCTTATATTGGGTTGATCTCGAACCGATGTCAAGATTTCTCTCTCATTATTCTTCCCAGACGCAAACAAAAAACATTTTCTTCTGAGGCTGAACTCACTAACCAAACAGAGACTTAACACTACATCTCCAAAACGAGCTTTTAACAACTCAAAACCCAAACAAGCAGTTCCTAAGGAAAAATAATTGACTCAAGATGAAAAAGAACTCTTGAGAAATTTTAAAATAATACTCCTCCTAGAACAACTTCCTCACCGAACACGAGAACTTTTTTCTCAAAGCATTATGCCTAAAAATATATGTGAGAAATGATGCTAAAGTGGGGGTGAAGTTTCTCAAAATCAATATCTTCACAAGGTTTGGAGTTCCAAGGGCGCTCATAAGTGATGAAGGTACACATTTCCTGAATCATTGTATGGAAAACATGTTTAGGAAATACAATGTGAAACACAATATTTCCACCTCATACCACCCTCAGACAAGTGGGTGGGTGGAAGTATCTAACAGAAAAGTCAAGAAAATTATGGAAAATACCGTGAGTGCCTCAAGAAAAGACTGGGCAACAAAGCTAGATGATGCATTGTTGGCGTATAGAACTACTTTAAAAACGCCCATAGGTATGGGTAGAGGCATTGGATGTTGCTTGGATTGCTGACCACCCTAGGAGGGCGACACAGGTTGAGGCTATACCAGAAATAGAGGAGTGTCTAATAGAGGTTGTCAGGTCGAGCATACCCAAGCCTCAGCATATACCTAAGGGAATACCTCTTGCCGATGAGGACTCTCAGGCACACAAGGATAAGATGAACATGTTCTATTCCATGCAGGATTTTTATTCGCACACTGGGCTACCAGGGCGCTACCTCACTCATCGCGTGGATACGTGGGCAGCGGCTCAACGCTTCTGAGATCGCTTTTTAGGAGACCGTTTAGCCCCATTCTATGGACGTTACCAATATCCGAGGATTGTGACCCCGATCCAACTAGGGGGACCTGTCCAACAACAACCCCACCAGACTCTATTTTCTTAGCTTACTCCCTAGCCGCACTAGAGCTCCTTTAGGAGTCCAGAGTAGAGAGGGCCTGACCAGCAGGGCCAGATGTCCCCCATCTCTGCATTTGTGCATCATGGAGGCGACCAAAAGACCATGATCAGTTTTAACCAGCATATAGAGGACAAAGGCAGATATGATGAGGATTATTTTTTCTTCATTTTTGTTTTATTTTTAGTTTAACTTTGATGTTTTTGTTCTTTTTGGTTATTTGTGATTTTGATGTACTTTCCCAAATTTTGATTTGAATATTATATCAATTTTGTTTCAGTTAATTCATTTTATATTTTCTATTACTTAAGTGATGATTGTTAGCATGAGTGATTGACATAAATAACCCAGCTGAAATTTTTTTGTGTCCTATACATGTCAATACCCATTAATCTTGATATCTCTAAAATGATTTGATGTGGTTTTTTTGGAGTTCTACTGGAAGGGGTGCAAGGTTGTTGTAATTGAGTGTGGAGCTGCATCACATTAGAGGTATTGTTGACAATGTCAGCTCTTACCAACATGGTGAGGACAAAAAAAATCCAAACACAATATCCATCATAAGAGAGAACATTCAAATATGTTTTTATCATCTAGAAGTTGCGTAAACTCTTTTCTGATATCTATTGTATGATTACACATACTGAGACACATTGTTTGTTTTATCCAAGAGCCTTTCAGGCCATCACATGTATTTCATGTATCCCTTGTTAACCCCATTTGAGCACATATGTCGTTGTTTGTAAATTACGCATAAATAGCCCACTGTTTAAGCACTTCCCTACCCTGTTCAGAGTTAGTGTGTTTCATTTTGGGATTTGTGTTACATTCTAAATTTGGAGTTGTTGTTGGAATATCAATCTTTAAGTTTGGGGTTGCCGTACAGCAGTGAAAACAAGGTGAGTGCACCTGAGAAAAAAAGAGAAAAGTTGAAAAATCAACTTAATTGAAAAAAAAATGAAAAAAGAAAGAAAGAAAAAAAAAAGCACTCACTAGAAGGAGAACTCAGCTGGATATTGAGAATCACCTGAAAAAAATCTAAAAACCGAGTAGTCCCGAGTGGCTAAACGTTAAAGGCGAAGACCGGAAAAATTTCAGCAGTAATACTTTGGAATGAACATGATGAAACAAATGATTACAACGACTCTTAACCAAAACCCACTCATCCATATAATATCCCACCTTAACCCAAACTTTATTACAACCTAGAAAGACCTCAAAACATGAGGTGCACATGAGATCTTAAATGAGTCTCAAGAAGTAATATCATATACTTGACATGTGGACGACGTCGCCACCTCATGAAACTTCCTCATAAGCGAGTCAAAACGATCTCTGTTAAAACATAATCAAATTAATTAAGTACGAAGAAGTTGCCTTAATGCAATACACGTCTTACTAGATCAAGGAGGACGATATATACTCACCTTAAATGTCAGGTCGAATCATAACTTTTTTTACAAAACACAATCCTAAAGACCTTTTGCTTAGCTTATCGTTTATAGGGTTAATACTATTGTACTCGTATTAAATATATCATAACTTTGACGAGACATTCACAATTTTTTATGTTTCGATTAACAAGTCCAAATTTGTCATACTTGATAAGAAGAAAGTACATGTGTTGTCTGGCTTGCTAATTAGTCTTCTTCCTAGTTTTTTCAATTGTTCTATCGTAGAGTCTTGAGCTCCAATTTTCTTTTCATGTTGTTTCTAAGACTTATAATCCCATGAGTATTTGGTAAGCTTCACGGTATCTTTCTTTGAACCTAGGCCATCTCTCTTACAAAACAAGTGTAACAAAAGAATTGAATGAACAAATAGGCCAATAAAATACTCTTCCGTATGAGATATTTTAAAAGCAATTGATGACAGCCACATCCTCTAAAGCTAAGTAATTTTGTTATACATTTTTTGGTACAAAGATTAGCATTTTCTAACAAGTGATTGATTTAGAAAACATCGAAAGTCAAGATCACCCATATTCGAGGAAATGTGATTGCCAATACTCAACGTGCTTGTTGACGTAATGATGATGAATAAATACATACTACATTAAGTCATAAATAAATAAATAGCTTAACATAAGGAAATTAATTAGGAAAAATATAATAATCAATCACATCACCTTTAATCTATTTTCCAAACACACCAAATTTCTGTTTGAATTTCAACCACAACACAACCATCCCACCAAACTTAACAATCATAAAATAATAACACAACTAACCATCATTAAACTTTATTAGTATATAATTAATTATTTAGATTTCTTTTGCGTAGGGCCAAACTAAAAAAAATAAAAAATTGAAAGTCCACTATGTCTATCTTTATTCCAAAATTCCAACCGTGTCTTTTACGCTTCCAATTTCCAACAAATTAACAGCTTTCTCTAATTTTTTTTCTTAATTCAGAATCAATCTACATTAAAGTGTTCACATTAATAATAATAATAATATTGGAATTTTATTATACTATCATAACTTAAATTATTCATATAACAATATGATTCTCTTTCAATACTTTCCGATTTACATTGACATACAAAAAAATACATAAAACTGTAAATATTGATAATGATAATAATAATAATAATATTGAATCAAACTTTGAAACACCAAGCAGCATGGTGATGATGGTGATGAGATTTTTCCATATCAATCATTCCTTGGACGGTACGAAACTGTTCTATGTGGCAAGGAATGGTGATGGGTCCTTTCTGAGCAAATCCATATTCTTCTTCAGCTTCTTTGAGCAACTGCATAAACAATGGATGGTTGATGTAAATCACTGGAATCACAAACCTTTGTTGCTCTTCCCCTTGTCCCACCATCACTGCCATACACCCTTTTGGAATGTCCTTATTCTTTTCATGGTTTTGATGAAAGTGAAGATGAGGAATATGCAAATGGAAACTCAAATTATGATGGTGATTACCACTAAACCCCATAATTAAGAAGAAACTAAAAAGGACAAAATAACAAGTGTGTTCAAGGTTGTTTGTTACCAGGAATGTTTTTTTTGTGTTATAAGAAAACAAAAGAGAAAGGCCAAGGATCGGAAGAAGAAATGGCGAGATTGAAGAGAGTTAAGGAAGAGTCGGTGAGAGACTTTGGGATATTGCTCATGATAATATGAAAACAAAACCTACATAACAAGAAAAAGAATGATGAGAAAATGGTGAAACTATAGGTTGTATATATAGGTGGAAAAAGGGAGGGTGTAGAAATATTGACGTTAGAGTGAAAAGGAGGTGCATTAAGTAATATTATTTTGTATTATTTATATTTATGACGATAAGGATGATTCTAGGTTTTGCTTAAGGTGTACACAAAGGTTTGTTCTCGAAAGGGAAATGAGAGGGAAATAGTCCCAAAGATTAGGAGAATTGTATTAACGTGTCAAATTTTTATTGGAGGTTAATAGTGAAGAATATATTCAATTCATTGAGATTAAAGTTAAAGATATTGAATTGTTTATTGTTTTGATTTTGATTCATAGCTGGAAATTTGAATATGGTATGAGAAGGTTAGAATGAATTTGTAGGGTAAATACATGGAAAGAGTCGTAAATTGAATTTAATACTAATATACTAGTAACATTCAAATACTTCATGGAGGATAATTATTTTCTATAAATATGATTATTAATTAATGTTTTTTTTAAACAAATATTGCTAAAAATATTTATGTCTGCCTCACAAAAATTTGTTAAAAAATAAAATAAATATAATTAATGATGCAGATCTAAAATTTTGAAAAAAAAAACAGATATGTCACTACTCACTAGGCTTTTTTGCTACTGCTTCTTAAAACTAATCAATTAAAAATATAATAAAAATCATAAGTATTAAAATAATTTTACTAGTATTATATTTAACTTTTAACTATTTTGTTGGTAGCCCCACCACCTCATGTTCCCCAACTCCATTTGACTTTTATTTTTAATGGGAATGCTTTTACTCAAATATAGTGTATGGAATAAATTTGCGGTAGGCTTCTTCTACAATTGTTGAATTGAAGTTAATGTCCTTATTCTTTTATATTTAAGAACGAGTTCAAATGTTAATTATATCAAATATTGGGAATTCAATTTGATAGTGTTTACATTGGGAAAAAAATAAAGAGTTGGTTAGCTGAAACAAACAAAGAGTTAAATTTCAAATTTAAGATCAAAAGAGGCGTGTTTTAACACTAATGTTTGTTTCATGATGATGTTTATATAATTTGATATTTGTAGACTCATTCATCCAAGAGTTTATTTATTATGTTTTCACACTTTTAGATTCAAATGTTCATATTCATTATGTTTGGTTTTGTTAATGTGTTTTCCTGCTTCTCATTTTATTTATTATTATTAACAATTGAGTCTTTTACAATAAGTTGCTTACTCATCTTTTAAAAAATAGTTATTTTTAATGTACAATATTTTTAGTGTATAAAATAAGTCATTGGCTAAAAGATAACACAAGATGATTTGAATAAGAAAGTTTGCAATTTGAAATTGTAGTAAGTTTGATTCAAATGATACTAGAATTCGATTCAAATCATGTTTTTATTTTTTAATTTTCTTTTTTAATTTTTTAATTTCATAGAAGTTGGCTTCAAGGAACATGATAAACATGAAAAGTGTTGACTCAAATCAAATTCAAGTTTATTCATTTGAAAATTGTGATACAAGTCACACTATTGATTGATTTAAATCATGGAGGATTTTGATTCGGATCATGGTTTGGTTTGATTTGAATCAAACACAAAACTTTTATTTTAAAATTGTTTTTGAATTCAAATCAAACAGATAAATTTTGAGTTCTTCAACTCTTGATTCTATCCATTCTCTTACTAGATTCAAATAACTCATTTTTTTCTTTAACTCGAATCAAAGTGTCTTATCTCTGCATATATAAAAACTCTTTGATAAACTTTTAATGTTCATCACTCACACAAAATCTCTCTCAAATAAACGTTGAAGAAAAAAAAAATTTGAGTGTTAATACCTGAAGTGAGAAAAGTTGTTTGTGTAATATTTTCTGCAAAAAAAACTTCAACTTTAACATCAAACCAAAATATCATTGATGAGTGTTGCTCAACTCTAAGAGAGAGTGTGAGTTTTTGTTGTGAGAAAATTTATTAGGTGTTCTAATGTCTTGCGAAGATTTTTCAGATATGTATAATTAAGTTGTGATTTCTAGAGAATGAGTTCTAATGAAGAAAAATAAGATGTCTTTTCCAAATAGTTTGTAAGTTTCTAGCATCGGCCAACAAATTAAGATTCAAATAAGAAAATCCTAGTAGAATTGAATGGAGATTGATGTAGACGGGATTTTGAAGATCTTTGCGAAGATGTATGTGCTCATCACTATTGTGCGTGCATTTTGGAGTTGTTATAGCCTTGTGAGATATGTGAAGTTGAAGGAAAATCAAGAAATAAAAGTGTCCTTATAAAATATACCAATAATTAGGGGTGGCAAAGCAGGCGGCGCACCCCGTTTAGCCCCGCTCCATTTAAGCCCGTCCAAATGTGGGGCGGGGTGAGGCGGATCAACTTAGGCGTCCGACCTCAAAAGTTAAGTCCGTCCCGTTTACTAACAAGTTGGCGGGCCGACCCGTCAACTTTTTTACAATTTGATTTACGATATAATTTACAAAATTGTTAACCATTAACAAAGAGGCCGACAAATTTTAACAATGCATAGTAAAACTTTAACAAGTCTTAATTTAAATATCATATTCTTCAATATAAACAAACAATATAACTATAATATCAAAAACTTACGCTAAAACCCCAAAAATCAAAATTTTATTATCATAATGAGAAACAAACCTGATCTGACCTGATCAGAAGGGGATCACGGGTTGGCCACACGTTGCCGGACTGCTGCTTGCTCACCGGTGATGAGGAGAAGAAGGGGGGGTGTACCTGCAAAACACTCTGATGCCAAAATGAGGAGTTGGGCAGAGCGAGAGCAAAGTACCGAAAAAGGGGTAAGAAGCGTGTTACCTGGCCCTCTTGGGAAAGAGGGTATTTATAGAGAGACCCCGACGCTGGACCAACTGTCATATGAGTTGGGCTGGATGGCCAGGCCCAATCCAAATGACTGCTAGGGCTTACGTGGCGTAGTGAAGACCGAAATGTGGTCTTCGCCCTAGTCCAACTGCTCCTTGATCTCCGGAAAGTGGGTTTGACCTGTTCTTTCGGAGGTGGGCAGTTGGTGGACGGCGTGTCCCCGCGGAGGGGAGCACGTGGAGAACGTGCACCGGGCACGTTGTCCTCCCCGCGGAGGGGAGCTCGGGAGGTTCCTCGGAGGCAGGTTGCTCTCCCCGCGGAGGGGAGAACGCGAGGATGTGGAGGAACCAAAGGTCTTGCTCGACGGACCGGGGTGTGCCCTGTTCGGCCAACAAAAGAGGATGTTGAGACGCTACAAGACGCGTCGTCCATCCCGGCGGGGAGCGTGTCCTGCCCGTCCTACGGGGCGCGTGTGCCCGGTCGGGCTAGTCCACTTAATGGGCCATGTGCGTTATTGGGCTGGACCGCGAGGCTGGGCCCAGACCAGAACAGGAGCCCCCCAAGTCGAAGCTCTGTGGTGAAAGAGCGAGGACTTAAGGTCGCGGTGTCGGGGAGAGAGGTAGCGAACCGGGAGGTTCGTCGGGTTTGTGCACGGTGGAACGTGCGCTCGCGCAGGGGTCTCCCCCTCGTCGGCAGAGCGGGGCGAAGACAGGTGAAGGGACGCGACTGTCAGGTTGCCGCCACGTGTCGCGCGTTAAGTGGTAGTAGGGGCGGCTACCCTAGGTCATTTAAGAGCCTAGCGTCGCTTTGAATCCCGCGCCGGGTTATAAATATGGGGGTCCCCGCTCAATTTTCTACTTTCCACCTTGCTGTCTTACCTGCGAAGCTCTGAGATTCCTGCTCATCCGCCGTTGTCGTCGATCACCGCCACACCGTTTAGTTCTTCCTCTAGTTCGCCGTCGTTACAAGTGAGTTTTTCTTTCTCTTCTCCTTTTATTTCTGCAGTTTGATTAGGATCTGTGGTCGGGCCATGATGAATGCCCCGAGGAGAGACGAAAGTTCCGCCGTATCTGGCGGTTTTCTGGGTCAGTTCCGATGAATACCCCGGGGAGAACTGGTTGTTCCGGTGAATGTCCCGAGGACGGGGGCTTTCTCCGATGAATGCCCCGGGGATGCGCGCTTTTTCCGATGAGTATCCCGAGGAGGGATGATGGGTTGGCCCTTGAATGCCTCGTGGAAGATCGGCGGGGAGCGCCCGCTCGCTCGTCGTTCCCCCGCCTTTGTCGCCCTTTCACTTGACCTGCGGTGGAAGGGTGGATTTGATCTTGGCTATCGAATTCACCGTTGTCCTCTGCTTTTCAGGTGTAGATGTCGGCCTTGGTACCAGGGACGATGGTCGAAGATAATGAACCCGAGGTCCCGGATTTCGACGAGCGTGTCGTCCCGGTCGAGGAATGGGTGGCCGAAGAGCCGCTGTCCACCCCATCCTGCTCCGTGGCCGACGCGTCCGACGTCTACGCTACCGTCGAGGACACGCCTGAAGGGGAGCAGCAACATTGGATGAAGTACCGCCCGAAGGAGCACCATCGCATCTGCTCGCGATATGGGCGGCGGATGTTCCCCATGCACGAGTTCTACTTCAAAGAGGCTCGGCTCAGGTTGCCGTTCTCCGCTTTCCATCTGGGCCTCTTCGATTGGTTACGCTTGGCCCCGTCCCAACTGCACCCCAATGCTCTGGCCTTTATCCGTGCTTTCGAGGTGGTGTGCTTTTATCTCGAGGTGGAGCCCACGGTGCCGTTGTTTTTTCGCATCTTCCACCTGCAGCGCCAGTCGGTGAACGGCCGTCAGGGATGGGTCTCGTTTAAGCAGCCGACCAAGCTCTTCAAGACGTACAACGATTCTGTTCGAGATTTCAAGGGTCGGTTCTTCCTCGTGAAGCCGATC